CTGTGATAGGAAGTAACATACTGAAATCTCACTGTGATAGGAAGTAACATACTGAAATCTCACTGTGATAGGGAGTAACATACTGAAATCTCACTGTGATAGGGAGTAACATACTGAAATCCTACTGTGACATGGAGTAACATACTGAAATCTCACTGTGATAGGGAGTAACATACTGAAATCTCACTGTGATAGGGAGTAACATACTGAAATCTCACTGTGATAGGGAGTAACATACTGCAATCGCCCTGTGATAGAGAGTAACAACCTATCATGGTTGGGTATCACAGTTGGTATGAACTTGGACGACATAAAATCCTTCCCATCCTGCACTGGCTCAAATTCCCGGCTATAACTGGCGCATCCGAATTTGTGGGCTTTTCTAGGATATAAGACAATATAGATCGCAGCTTGAGTCGACGAACTTTCCGCAGTGTCAGACATAGTAATGTCACATGTTTTCATCAGCGTCCCGGAAGATTAATATTTATCGAACATGTACACAGCAAACAACATTGTTATGTATAAGTAATAATAAATACTAATCTTGTTCGACCAAAGCTCATTGCAATAATCAGATGACGACTATGTCTAATGATGCGGCCTCTATTCGTCTGCAGAGGCCGATTATGATCTACGAACGACCTTACTTTTGTTATTCGGAATACTACAACCCTCTACGGCGATGGTATTACTTTTTATTTCCCTCGGCCAATTAGCAGACGGCACAGTAATATACGAGATAATGTGACTGTACGGTTTTAAACACCAAATAATATTTACAGCGATATATGTTCTTGGTGGTGGTTTAGAGGGGGGCTGAAATCTCTCAATTCGATGTACAATCGCACTTTCGTTTTCTATTTTTGCAGATTGAGTCTAACGTTATCATGTAACATGAAATTACAACGCTTTCCAATGGATCAACAAGTGTGTGGTGTTCAACTTGAAAGCTGTAAGTATCAATGATGGCGACGTTGTGAGGGTAGGCTGAAATGTCTCATTCTAAATAACCCCTACGTAATATGTAGTAACATAAACTGTAAGAAAAAGAGGGGAAGAGAAAAGGAATAGAGATTATTTAGTTTCTTGCATAAAACATATTAAAATTAGAATGCACTCCGAGAGCGCAAACTCTTGCTATAGATGCAGATAACATATTTAATACCTCTACACTGTTGTATACATTCATCATACTCACATAAGCTTTTTATTTTTTGACCAGATTGAGTCTTGAACAGGTGTGTTCACTCAAGAAATCAGACAACGACCCTATTAGACAATGATAGAGTTTTATTTAAAAATTGTCTCCATAGCAATTAGATTCATATCTCCCGCTATAAAAAATACTTCTGAGAGCAGTAGGTGATGAAATTGTACATGCTTCTATAAAATCTTTTTGTCTAAGTTCAAAATAGAAATGCAAGACTGTCAACGGTATAACCATTTTCATTGTGGCCACTATCTCTAAAATCTCCTTTCCACGGTCGTAATTGTCTTTCTGCTGCTTTCTCCGTCTTAAATGTTCGGCGTCCTTTAGTGAACACTAATGCATTCCAAGTGATGCATGTCGCTTATAATCTCGTTACATTACAGGTAAATTCATTTTCTTTTTACTGTCGAGGGTGTTTTTGTCCTTTTACGGAGATTATATCTTTCCCATCTTTTGATTACTCGAGTAATCCACATGGAACTATTTAAACAATTAAACCTGCAATTCAGAGATTGAACAACTGTTCTAATTCTTTACACACCACTTGTTACTAATTGAGTATCCTATATTTTTTGCATGCTGGCACATAAACATTGGATCATGATTTATCGTATAACGCTTTCTGATACTGTTATCACGAGAATGCGCATTTTGCACAGTTTGTTATTACCGTCGAACGAGAACCTAAATACTAGTAAATGCAGCGATCGATGCAATGACTGTGAGTCATGCAATAAACTAGTTTAAACCAAGTACTAGTATATAGGCAAGCAATTGCAAACATTTATGGAAGGTTGTTATCACAGTTTATTGTAAAACGTTTCAGATGAATTTTGGTGAGTAAGTGAAAATCACAAAAACGAGTAGCAGCGATAATTTGTATAGGATCCCACAGCGACTTTTTCGAAATGTTGGCTGCACGAATGTTGTACTGACACTGACAATGAACGGTCACAGTCCGGCCCCCCCCCCCCCCACTCAGGATCCATAGGGGGCCGCATGCGCGTTCCCATTTTCTCGGGAAAGGGGGTACTTTTTGACGAGCTGTCTCGGGAACATTTTCCCGAGAAAATCGTAGAAAAGGGGGTATTTTTTGCTTGTTTTCCCGAGATTCTCAAAATAGGGGGTGTATTTCAAAACACTTCCCGAGATATACAAAAAAGGGGGGTTTAAAAGGAGTTCTAGACTGAAAAGTTCCCTAGATAGGGGGTGAAATTCATCGGAAAAGCTCGTGAAAGGGGGGGGTTAAATTTTCTTCTTTTCCCTAGATAGGGGGGGGGGTCAAAAAAAATGAGGGAACAAGCATAGGCCCCCCTAAATATAGGGAGTGGGGGGGGGGCGGGTTCACAGTACCCGATATTCAATTAAAGCACGGTGTTCGTCGCGCAGCGCGTGTTCGAATTTCATGTAAATAAACAATGTATTTTACACGCGTTGTATACGTCGCTATGAGTCCCATATCGAACAGGACGCGGCACGACGACTGCCGCCTTTTAAGTTGTAAATCTGAGGGTCGTGATCGATTTTGGAATGATAGTTGTAATTAATAGTATTTTACTAGCTCTCATATGCATACCAGGGTGAGTTGATCTCGTTGATATGTGTACAATCATTGTTTATTTCCATGAGGAGCATACAGACGTTAATAAATTATGATATGTTACTGTTTTCAGACGGTTTCACCACAAAGGATCTTTTATTTGAATGGAAGGATGTGGGACCTGTACAGATCGCCGGGAACCTCGAGTTACCCCAGTTTAATATACTTGGTTACCGAACGCTACCATGCACTAAACAGTATAACACAGGTAACACTATAAATATTTAACGGTTCTACCTTGGTCAAGTCAGTTCGGTAAATTGATTGAATTGATCCGAGTAGTACATGTAATTCAATTCGAACGTCAAAACGCCTTCATATATAAAATAGAACAAGTTCACTAATTGAGATCTGATATATTAAACAAAAGTTTTTCCACAGAGAGTGTTTTATGGGATGGGTGGAATGCAGATCAGATTCAATTATTTGAGGGTGAGGTGATTAAGTCAATTTAATTCTTTAAACTGTTGGTATATGTGCTGTGTCACATACGCGACCAGCTTGTGTGATTGGACACCAACTGCCAGTAGTATCGGTGATCTTACATGTACTTGTGTCGCCTGTGGGCATCGTACACAAATATGTGTTTCCACGCCATTTTTCTAAATACTGCGCATACTAATACATATATTGCATTGCAGGTAATTACACGTGTGTCGAAGTCCAGTTCTTCTTTCTCAGACAAATGGGATACTATTTAATACAGACTTACATTCCCAGCATGCTCATCGTAATCTTATCCTGGGTATCATTTTGGATCAGCGCTGAGTCGTCACCTGCACGCGTGGCCCTTGGCATCACGACTGTTCTCACGATGACCACGCAGAGTTCTGGCGCCAACGAAACCCTACCAAAAGTATCTTATATCAAAGCAATCGATATTTGGATGTCGGTGTGTTTGTTGTTTGTTTTCGCCGCACTGGTTGAATTTGCCGCGGCCAATTATATGTACAGGGCAAGTACTGTGGAGAAGAAAACAACAAAAAACAACAACAAAAGTCGAGTAAGTAATCACAGACAAGTCAGAGTAAATTGGATAAGTCAATGAGTGTATGTTGTTAGTCCCGTGGTACATTTTTAAACATTATTGTTGTTCTTATCGGGAAATTGAAAACATAATAAATTATTATATATATATATATATATAACCTGCACGCGTATATATATATATATGAATATTTGGTATCTTCTTTATATTTTCGGGTAACCATTGACTACATCCCACTTTCCTTTCAACCCCATCCGCTCTAGAGTTATCTGAAGAGATAGATTGGACTTGTTAGTACACTATGTTATGATGTTTTCTGAACAACTTTGACTTCGCCGATATACACGTTGAACTATAAAATACTTGATTCTTTCTAAATATTATCGGTTCATTTCTTCTCAGGCGTCTTCATCTCAACTAAATGGAGAAAACAGCTTAGATACGAAGCACGTGCCCTTCTACGTCAAGGAAAACAGCGACGCCATGCGACCAATGGTGGCCTCATTAGTCACGGAAAGGAAAAAGAGACCAACGACGAAAACCGTCGCACAGCCGAACAAAGTTCAAATAATCGACGTTGTTTCCAGAATTGTGTTCCCCGTCTCATTCCTTATCTTTAATATAATCTATTGGTCCATATATCTTGGGTGGTATTTTCAGGCACCTGATACGCAAAATAGTTAACTTTGTCGTAGATACTAGTACGTACATATTGCCATGGCAATGAAATTGACATCCTGCAGTAAAGAAGAGAAAACAGTTCAAAGGTCATCTAGCATGTGTACGCGCGATTGATTTTTGTTCAGGATCTTGACAATACAACAAGCTCTCTCGATATTATAGAGATGTTCCGTGATTTTACAAATGTGTGTAGAATAGTATTTGATAAAAACGTAGTAGTGAATACAACTGATGAATAGAAGAACAAGACTTCAACTCTTAGATATTTATCTATTAAGACTTAGACTAACTATCGGTATCTTGCGTTGAAGCTTTTTCAATTTACACGTGTTGTGCGACGAATAATAGTTTAGTAATACGAATGCACGACGTAACATAAAACGATATGCGAAATATACAGAATAATGTACGAGTAGGAGTACAAATGTTCAGATGTTGAACAACTCGAGGGCCCGAAACCTGCCGTGGGTGAAGTTCGATATCTGAACAATTGCACAACCTCGAGTACATTGTCCTCTTTTCTCGTTTATTTTTTTTATTTTTACGTGGAGACAAACAAGTAAAATAACATTCTGAACCCGTCCCTGCCAACCACACCTGTCAGTCGTACCTGGAGTTCTTACACACCAATCACGTTCGGGCTTCGTTCACAAAAATTTACATATTAATTTATTGCAGGTGAACGACATAAAATGCACAATTAGCTTACAAATATGCATCTATATTGTGACGAGATAGAAACGATGACATTTGAATCTTAATAATAGTATATATATATATACATATATATATATATAATGGATGTCACCACTGCATAATGCAGTTACAAATGCACTCCACTGCCACATGTCACATTTGATACGAGAAACGTTTTACTGTATTGCTATGGTAATACACTTTATAATCGAGTATTTCAAATGTGCACAAATGTTAGATTTTTATCTTTAGACAAATCTATGTTGGACAATGCAATTGAAACGATAGCTGATACCTATAGTGTAAAGCCGAGAATTATGGGTAGGGGTAGGCTGTGTCGCTGCACGATAAACAAAATGTGGTATCGAGAATATAAATAGTTTTGTATCACTGTAGACAGTTTAAACAATTCACTTCCTGTCTACGTTGAGTCATTGTGTAAATGCGTACCCAAGTGTTAATAAACTATTAATGAAATTAAAATAAATTAAATTTATAATCTCCCACGTGCGACAATGCTGTGTCAATTTTTGCTCGTTATTATCTGTAGTATTAAAAGTCTGCTGTTAGTTTAGTTAGGTTACACATTTAAAGATACTTTTTCTATATCTCACTTTAGTCATGCGCATGCGTAGTAAATGATTATATCAGAAAGCAACGGATAGTGAACATTTTTGTTTACAACCATCTCAGAAAACAAATGCATTTTACTGCAATTTGATTCCAGCTTGCATCATTAGTCTAAATTTCGTTATAAGCACGAGAGGGGAGACTATTGACCCTATGTGTAATTTATAGGTTTATTTTGCCGTCTAATCGTGATAACACATCAGCAGCAGACATCCCCTTTATTGTAGTCTTTATTGCATACATAAACGCATATATGTTAATAATAACGATTCTTTGAAATGACCAAAACCATTAAGATAGATCAGCACTTTGATCTTCACTTCAATTATATACATGACGTAATTGATATATAGAATGTCAATGTCACGTATATAATGTACCATGAGGACAAACGACAATTATTTTTCACCAAACCATAAATCCATCATTTATATATATATATAACGTGTGTGAAGTTCGCTAATTGACACATACGCAGCAGGGGTGTAGTAGGAGTAGGTGTATAAGGAGTTTATTGAGATGTTAATTAGAATTCATCGCTTATAAGTACTATAGTAATACCTTTAGAAATAGCGAATGAGGGTGATGATTTTCACGCTTTGATTGATCTATTTTGTTTTTACCGAGTAACCCACATCAGTAAAATGTTGTTCTAAAGTGTGACGGATTGAAAACAAAGAAAATGAAGAAAAAAAAATGCATGCCTGTATATACATACCTGTACCATACCGACTCTAATACACATACGTAATGTTATAAATCAGAGTTCTAGCAATAACAATCTCAATGTCCAATAACTGCCTGCCTGTGTCGATGACGCACAATAACTGCGAGCAAGAATAATGCAATCCAAACTGTGGGTGAAATAATAGGTTATATCTGTTAAATGTTGGAAAATACTTTTAATAGTAATGTCCGCTATTAATGCAATAGTGTTGTCTACTACAGAAGTATTCGAGTTTCTTTACAACTTTTACGTGTTATTTACTAAGATAACAAGGAATTAATTTCATCAAAATCATGGAACGTTCCTATATTTTTGGCATACAATATTGTTGCTGTATTTGATACGAGTATATTGACGCGTCGCGTCGCTTTGCTGGGTGCGATAGAGAAACGAGTTGGATGGGCTTATTTGAAGGAATTGTCTAAACTACGTCACACACAACTCGTTTCTGAAGGGATAACGTGAAGAAAATAGTCATGACCAGGATTAAGTGACCAGTGTGGAATTGTCAAGCTAAAATATAAATATATTTACTTTCACAAAGGTATAATTAAAACAATTGTAAGATTTAATTATATGATACTTAATAAACTGCCCCATCAATCCAAAACCAACACCACGCCCACTATGATCGCGTATATGTGCACATGTGTATGCAATTTCAGCATGTGACCAATGCCTATTCATTGAAATCAAATCGAACTTTGTGACTGGTAGAACTCCCAGTATTGCTGTCGACAGTTGCTGAACATTTATAAAACAAATGTCGAGCGCATGTTTTATGGAAAACACAGTCGCGACCATTACAAATTTAAATGCAATTTAAACTTCTTAACTGATGGTGTAATAAATATCTGAGGTTATCTGAGGTTATCTGCGTTTTTTTAGCTTCAAAATACATTTCGCTCGGTGTTTGTATTGAGTTATCCCCCATGATATTACAAATAATGGTTGGGTTGTATTATTGTAGATTCAAATTCACATAAGAAGTTTAATTCGTTAATGCGGTACCATATTGTATTGGCATTTCTATGCGAAGCGAACATTACATCTAATTGTTTGGCGATTAGTCAACTGTCATTTTGAGTTATTAAGCACGTTTTTAAAGGTATGAAGACATATCAGTCAGAATATGCAACTAAGTACACAACTCATTAACCTGTGTATAATTACTTGACCTCTTGTATTCAGTGTCTGATCCACTGTGACAGGGATGAACCTAGTGCGTGTAATAATTCAATCGTGTGTAATCCTCTATATATTTCAACCATCCTTGATTCCACAATGTGGACTAAATTCTTCAAAGCAATTGCCTTATATAGCAGTGGTGTCCATTCTTTTCAAAACACACAAGTTTTTGGTTGCATACCTCGGGTTTTATGCGTAGCATTCTTTCACAGATTTGACCATATTTTGTAATGTAATAACTATGCATTTTGGCTGAATCTATTTTGTGTTCATGAATTTGCATTTTCCAAATGCGATTTGTCTTCAAACATCGTGTTGGGTATGTTATTCCCACTTTACCATTAACTTGTTTGCCGCCACCAACGAAGGCTTACAGAATATTTGCGTTTAAAAACGAAAGTATGCCACGTGTGGCACCAACAAAATGGTGGCGCTATTTATAAATTGATTTTCAATCTAATCAATTTTCGTTTTGTTCTGTGGCCATTGACTAGGCTTTCATTCACACCAAAGTCTGTATTGCTAATGTATTTTTTACAATATTTTGGTGTCTTTATTTTGTACACATTTTGTTTATGGCATGGGTATGAATAACAAGTTGGCAGATTTGATTCTAAACAAGCAATCTCTCGGCTGAGATAGTTCCTCTTTTAGAGAATAGAAGTTACTACAAAATCTGAGAGAGGTCTACCTGTATTACCTATATGTATAATATCAAATTAATCAGACTTATGGTCTTCAAAAAGAACTCAAAAATATTCATCAAAATTAGAAAATTGAAGATACATGTATCACAAAATGAATAAATACGAGAGCAGGATTTCTGAGGTACCTATATGTGTAATATCAAAGCAATCAGACTTGCCGCTTTCAAAAAGGAGTCGAAAACATCACTTTTTACCAAAAATGATAAAAATATTCATCTAAATTAGAGAATTGAAGATATCATGAAATATAAAAGCAATCAGACTTACTGTTTTCAACAAGAAATCAAAAATGTCACTTTTTACAAAAAACAACAATAATATTCACCAAAACTAGAGAATTGAAGATATCATCACAAAATGAACAATTCTAGGTGAGGTCTACCCCAAGGTACATATACATACAGTATAAAGGCAATCAGACTTTTCAAGAAGTCGAAAAAAAGTTAAAAGTTGATAGAGACAACAATGAACAATCACTCATATGATAAGCTCTGCTCGACAAAATTGACAGTGGAGCTAAAAATTTAACAGAACTAATATTTGAATGTGTCACCCACTGTTTATCAGACATAACTGAATCGTTTTCAAAAAAACTTCATGAATATCAGTTGATGGGGATGACATGGAATCAGGTTAAATAAAGAACTATTTGAGGAAAAACCTGGCCTAAATCCATTCAAACATGCTAATGAAGTGATGCATATGGAGCCTGTAATGTGTGCCAATTTCCGACTTAATACAAAATTGTGCACAAGATGGTGTCTGATTGGCCACCCAAACCTATCATCTAAATGTCAGACCAAGCAGAGAGAAGCTTGTTTATTGAAATTTGTCCTTGTCATGGCATGACCTTTCATTCAGGTGAAATACACCTAGCAATGATGCGTTCACAGAGTGGACCAGCTATACAGTAATAATGGCATTTATATTCAACAACTTGACATAAGATTTCACTTGCACAAAATGTCTTTATTACCAAATAATAAACCTATGTACAAATGACTTAGCATAGATGCACATTATATTTTACAGCGACAGAACTACAATTTTCAAGCCTGATTATTTATAAAATTTGTTCAAATATTTTAATTGCCACTCTTATAGGTTTTCAGGAAACTGAGTATACCCCCTTTACAGAATGTTGCCAGTGCATTTAAGAAAACATTGAACAATATGTACTTCCTCGGTAAGTTGAGTTTAATGCACACCAAAGCAGAATTCACAACAATGCATGACAGAATTGATTGTAGTGAAGACATTAATAATATAGATATATGACAAAATATGCCAGGCTTGGATCAGAGCTCATGCATGCCATTACTTTGTGATTCTTGATTTAAATATGTTAAGGGCTTTCAAAAAAAACATTGCCAGCAATACAACTTTATCTGATATGCAGCTTTGAAAACCGTCTTTTGTTAGCCTCCCATCCTACACACATATGAATTGCATTCTATAAATTGTGCTCGCATGAATAATCATCTGAAAAAATTTAAAGTTTTAAAACATTACCTGGTAGTCAATAGGTTTAATTGGGAATTGTGTTTGTAATTGCAACAACATTTGTATATTAAGCAATGTGGCAGAAAACATTCTTGAAAATGAACATTATGACTAGTCATTGGTCCATATTCATAAAATAATGTATAATTGCCCTGGTTTTGAAAATAAACTAATAAAGAAAAGCTACTGGATTTTTTTAAAAATATAGCACAAATGTAGTTGGAAAAGTTCTTGTCACTTTCCCTTAAAATGTACATTGTACAACAGAATATCAAGACCGCTTCTCGTATGAGTAAACTAAGAATGCTTGTCGTGCACAAACCAAGTGTGCTCATTGTTTTTTGTGTCGTTGATTCATTGCAAAAAATTTCTTGCGAAGCATGCAATATTAGAAAGCACCGAAATGAAACATGGCAGTTAATAACAATAGTATTGGTAACTTGTACATTGCAAGCATGCTTAGGCATGGAGCATGCAACATATATCATCCATTGTTTGTGTAAACAAAAACAACATTTCTGTCAGACTTGTACTCATAACCCAGACTACTATTTGCATTTACAGAATTCATTGAAATAATATGCGTTTAAAATAATATATATTATCTCTTTGAAATGGTCACCCAGATCTCTTCTTTTGGATGTGTCACCAATCCGTATTTGGATTCCACCACCTGTCCCTCTACCATGTGCCACTTGAACTTATGACACAGCTCAGCTAAGAATATGACCGCTTCTATCGTAGCGTATTTCGATCCTGGGCAAGTACGTCGACCAGCGAATCCAAAAGGAGAGAAAGCAACATCATCAAAGTCCTTGGAATTGTCAGCAGAGAAACGTTCAGGATCAAATCTGTGATGTAAAGTGAAAGAAGTTATAATTTTAATATTAACTTTTACATATTGCATTGTCAGTAGCGAGTCCAATTCATGGACTACCACTCTGAAAGACTACTTTTGATTTTGAGTGAAACCTTTTGAACTTTCACAAAATAAACTTAATACATAGCTCGCTGACACAGTTTTTTCCTATTCATTTTGTCTATTTGTTGAGGTATTCAGCAGTAGATATCATTGTGAATAACTGCTAAAAAATGTAATGTGATAATACTACATACATGTATGTACATGACTATATCTATAAAGTGCATGTTTATTCAGTACTACAGCTGAAACATGGAGAAAACATCATGAAATCAAAGAAAGCTTAGAAAGAACTCCTGTGTGCTGAGAGTATTAGAGACACAGTAAAAATTAATTCAAAATTACTTGTACTTGAGATATTGATGGAAAAGCTGAAAACTAATTATGAATATCAGAAAATTAAAATGAACAGAGTGTAAGACTAATAAGATCTGCGCAATGTAACAGACCATCTATGTACCAAGTTTTATTGAAATGTGATCAGAGAACCAAACAATTATGAATTATTATGCTAATTAGGGAATAAATATGACCAGATTTTGACCAAAAACTGATCATATTTGTACATTGAGATATACGTGAAAATACGGAAATTAACTAATTATGCAAAATTAGGTGATTAATATGCACAAATATTTATCCCAAAACAATCGATCTCTGCATAGTCCTTGAGTATCTATGTACCACGTTTCATTGAAATGTAATGCTTACTACTTGAAATATCAAAAGCTGAAAATTATTATGCAAATTGGGTAATTAATATGTACTGATATTACCCTAAAAACTACTAGGTCTGTGCAGTGTCCTATGACATCTAGGTACCAAGTTTCATTGAAATGCGATGATTAGTAGTTGAGATACATAAATCAGTGGAAAAGCCGAAAATTAACTAATCATTATTAGGTAATTAATATGCACAGATTTTCACCCAAAACTAATCAAAACCTAGCATTAGTTCAGAGCATCTATGAACCAAGTTTCATCAAAATCCAATGAGTGGTTCTTTAGAAATTAGTGGAACAATCATGTAACAGCTAAAAATGAGCTAATTATCATGCAAATTAGGTAATTAATATGTATGAATTTCTACCAAAATCTAATCAAATCTGCGCATTGGCCCAGAGCATCTATGCACCAAGTTGCACCAAAAAACGATGTATGGTTCTTGAGATATCAGTGGAACAGACGAACGGACACACACACATACATACAGACAGGGTAACTGCAATAACTCCCATTGTGTGCTTCGCACACGGGAGTCAAAAATACTAATGCGAGTGCTACAGTTCAAGTTTATTAAAATCATTACAATAGTACTAGTACATGTTCCTCTCTTAATTTAAATGCCTTGAAGATAAATCTTTAGATTTCTCAGTGTACAGATATTAAGAGATGACAAGAGCTGAGATGCATTAATGAAACCAGGATTAATGTGATTCACATTTGAATATCAAAGTCAATACAAGATTTTCTAAATATGGAAAGCAACACGGTTTCAACACTCCGTAATATAATATAATATTAGATTTATTTTAAATTTTGTGGTTGTCCCAATTAATTAAACTTGTTTAATTAAACTCAATTACAATGCAATACAACATAGAATTGCGTTATAATTAATAAGTTTGATCAAATAATATCCCCTGACTGAACATAGAAATGTTTGCGAAAATTAGACTTAGTAAAGGTGGAAGGTATGGTACAATTACATTAATATTAATATAAATTGAACCATACCTTCTCCCTTAACTAAACCTAAACTTCTCAAACTTGACTTGAAATTTGATTAAATACTAATATAAATTATGAAAATAATGAGGGTCGTCACAAAGTAGGTCCTGTGATCCCATCCGCACACACACATACAGGGTAACTGCAAAGGCTCCCATTCTGTGCTTTGCACACGGGAGTCGAAAACTTATTTGAGACTCCTGAGAAGAGTAAAATACTAACTTTTTAGGTTCTGGCCACACAGCTTCATCCTGCAAAACAACACCCAATGCATGCATCACTGGCGTCTACAGGAATATAA